TTCCTCACTTGGATCAAGATAGGAAATAAAGGATAGGAATAAATGGTCAGTTTTCATAGTGTGGGCAGGTAATTAGCTTGGTTCCCTAGAGGTGTATACTATACTGTTCAAAATGATCTGAAATAGGGAATAAACAGTGAGGTGGTAAAGTATGCAGACTGTTAGGACCAAAGGAGACTGTGAAGAATCACAAAGGGATCTTACAAAATAAGGGTGACTGGACAAAATTGGGTGATTAGGCAAGAAAATGGCAGATAAGTGCAAAGCAATGCATATTGTAAAATTTAATCCCAACCATACATACAAAATGGTAAGGTCTAAATTAGCTGTTAGCACTTATGAAAGAGATCTGTGAGTCATTGTAGATAGTTCTCTGAAAACATCCAACAGCAGCCAAAAAAGCTAACAGAAACTATTGGGAAAGAAGTAGATAATTAGACAGAAAATATGATAATGCCACTATATAAATCCATAGTACCCCCACATGTTAAATACTTTATGCAGTTTTGGTCACTCAGTCTCAATAAAGATATATTAGAACTGGAAAAAGTCCAGAGAAGGGCAATGAAAATTATTAGGGAAATAGAACAGCTTCCATATGAGGTGAAATTAAAAAGCTTCCATATGAGAAGAGATTAAAAATGTTGGGACTGTTCAGGTTGAAAAAGTGTTGGCGAAGAGGGAATATCATAGAGGTCTATAAAATCATGAGCATTGTGGAGAAAGTGAATAAGAAAGTGTTGCTTACCCCTTCACAAAACACACAAACTAGGGGTTACAAAATGAATTTTATAGTCAACATTGGTTTTAAAACCAACATGAAGGAGGTACTTCAGAGACAGCAAAGGCAATCTGTAGAATTTATTGTCAAAGGATGCTGTGAAAGCCGCAAGCATAATTGGGTTAAAAAAAAAGAACTAGATAACTTCATTGAGGCTAGGCCCATTAAAGCTATTAATCAAGATGGTCAGGAATGCACCCCATGCTCTTGGTGCTCCAAAACCTCTTACTAATAGAATTGGCAATGGATGACAGGGGATAGATCATTGAATAAATTACAACTTCTGTTTCTCCCTCTGAAATATCTGGCACTAGCCACTGTTGGAAGATAGGATACTTGGCTAGATGAAGCTTTGATCTGACCCAAAATGGCCAGTCTTATGTTTTTATATAATGATCCTCATAGTGGTGGTAAGAGGAGAGTCAATGAGTGACATGTGGGAACTATGTGTCTAGATAGATGAGCTCTATTGGCAATTGACTAAACTAGGACACGTCAAAAGGACTGTAGGGTTGTTGCATTAGTTTCCCATGTCTTCCCTGCCCATTTCTGGATGAGGTTTGCGTTCATCTTTATTATTTGATAGATATTTTTCAGGTGCTCGTGGTATGTGAGGCTTCAATCTATTATCACACCAAGATAATTCAGGCTGTGATTGTGTCTTATCTGTTTGCTACAGAAATCCACATGCTATTCGGCCATTGCCTTTGGATTACTTAAATAAAACACTGTGACATGAGTGTCTTGGTGGGGTTTTCATTTTAGTATCAGAATAAGAAATATTGTTCCATGGTTTTGAGGTTCTTGATTTGCATTTGTTTTATGATAAGTAAATTTTTCTAACTGCACAATCATGCAATTTCTTTGGCATAAGCAAATTTCCACAATGATGTAAAAGGGTTGATGATGTAAAGGAGTGTCCTAATACGCATATTAAGCAGTACTGGTGTTAGGATTGATCCCTATGCTAAGGTATCATTGAGAGTATGTGGCTTTGTGATCTCATAAGAAAGGAAAACATGAAATTTACTATTGAACATAACTTCTGAGAATTGTATTATTGCATTGTATGGGATAATTTTGCTGTTTTTTTTAGAAGTATGTTGTTCTCTACATTGCCATAGGAGGTGGCAAAGTCTAAGAAAACTGTCCCAGACTTATGTTTTCACTGTAATCCCATGCTAGTATTCATTCTCAGTGCATCTTTGACTTGGCTAGAAACTAACTTGTTCATTTCATAACATTTGTGGGCTTGGCAATAGGAGTGGTGATAGCTTCACAGCAGATTGTTGAGAAAGGTACCATCAAGTCTTGCATCTTTCCAAGGTTTTGTAAGTGAGACGGTCTTCTTTACCTTCTCAACAGTGAAAGTCAATGATGAGAGGGGATAAAGAGCTGTTGGAGCTATCTGTAGACTTGTCTTCTGGTGTTTTGAGTTCACAAGAAGTATTCTTGTCTTTGCATCAACTAAGACCTCAGAATTTTAAATTTCTCTGAGTTTGCAATCCCAACATGATAAAATAATAGCCAAGATTTATGACTACAATGAGTAAAGTGCAAAGATTCAACTTTTGATCCATCTTTGATGGAGGATTACATTTGGTGACTCTAAATGTTACAGTGTTTGGGCCACTGGATATTTAGCAGTCCTGTAATAGACATTATGTTTATGGTTGTGAGCATGGGGTATATTCTTTTTGATCTCTGTGAACGATGTTTTTTTCTTGTGGCTCTTTGATGGGGCGGGTGAAATGATCAATTTTCAGGCTCCTGTTGAATACATAGTATAAAGACATAAGAATGGCCATACTGGGTCAGACTAGAGGTCCATCTAGCCCAGTATCCTGTCTGCCAACAGTGGCAATGCCAGATGCCCCAGAGAGAGGGAACACACCAGGTAATCATCACGTGACCCATCTCCTGTCATCCATTTCTAGACAACAGAGGCTAGGGGATTCCTTCCCATCCTGGCTAATAGCCATTGATGGACCCTAACCTCCATGAATTTATCCAGCTCTTTTTGAACCTTTTTTGAATAACAGTATCAATGGTGACCTCAGTTGACACAATGAATCCCAGACAGTTTGCCTTTTGAAAGTTCCCATACAGTTTGGGTGATGACATTATTAGTCAGTGTTCAGTTTCAGTGCTGGGAGTTCAATAGTCAGAACTATTTGAAAACTTGCCAAGAATGGTTCCGGAGATGTTCTGAAGGATTCTGACCTCATTGTTGTTCAGGAAACGGAAGTGTGGATAATAGTGTCTGGTCCAGAAAACAGAATGAAAAGTGCCTGTCATTCACAAGAAAGAGAAGATATATGTTTTTTATTGCCATTTCTGCAAATTCCTCATCCACAGCATCATTGCTATTATTATGTGGTGACTATTGGAATCACTGATGTTTATAACAGAACAATGTGGGTAAAGAGGGAGAAGACAGGTCTGTATTTGGAACTTCTTATACACTTAACTTTCCAGTTCTTATTGAGATAGGAGGGCCATAATTTTTAATGCTCTGCTTGATGTGTGTGGCAAAACTCTGTTTTGAATGTTGGAGAGAGGTGACAAGATTTTATCCCACACTATGGCAATATGAGCCTTGAAAGTTTTTTTTCTTGTAGTGCCAAATTATAGATCATATTATTTTTTAGCTTGGGGTATATATTTGATGTTCTATTGGGAAACTCATATAGCTGAGCCTACTGTGACTCAGTGACAAGTGTTTGATGACTTATAGCAAATGATTTGGAGAGCCTATCTTATTTGGCACTCTACTTGACAATTTCTTTAAAAAGTCCAGTTATTTAATGGACATGCAGATTCTCCCCTACTCCTAGGGATGATTCTTCCATGTCAGGATTAAGTCATATTGGTACTGTTGGGTGAAGGAGCCTATATACTATAGATTCTCAGGTTGCCCATAAAATGTGCCAATTTTTTTACGTTGACTTTGTAAGCAGATGTTATCACTCTTCTGCCAGTATTCCCCTGCAATTAGTAGGATGACTATCTTAGGAATGCTATGATACATTTAATTACCTCAGGCAGTTGGAAAATTTGTAAAGTTAACCACTGCAAGCAGAAGATCATCATTCTACTAATATGTCCATTTAACTCTTTTCTTCAGCATTAGTTCCACTTTAAAAGAATAAGGGAGGGGGGGAGAGAATTGGCAAAGGTTACAGAAAAGAAGCTCGTTAACCAAACATTGTGTTTACATCATTATCATGAAGGATGGACTGGCAATATACTGTATCTATAATTGTATATGAAAGCTTAATGTTTTATTTGAGATAAAATACCTAATGTCAAATAATTGATTTGGTACTGAGGAATTTAGTATACATAAACATATCTACAGATATGTGGTCCACTATAGAATGGTGATATATATCAAGATTCTGTTACCAGAAGACATTAAATATCAGCTTGTATAATATGTGTGAAATTCTGTCCCCATTGTGTCAAAGTGAATTTTGCCATTAACTTCAGTAGGAGTAGGATTTCACATTACTCCATTTAGGGAAGTTAACTTTCTGATTATCAAGTTATGTCAAGGACAAGTAATTAGTGTACTAATTTTTCACGTGCTTGAGTAATATATAATTTGAAGAATATGGGCAATTTTATTGACAATGAAATAGTGACTGTACTATGGCAATATTATGAAGCAGAAAAGAAAAAAGATTAAAAAAAGTAGGATGCTTAGTAAAAATGGGAAAAGAGATGGAATGAGAAAAAAAGACCACACCATATAAACCATTTTGATTTATGCAGTATACTTATGTCATAATATGAACATGTGCTATTCCTGCTCATATATTGAATTTCAGTAGTTGGTTGCATAAAGAAGTAAAGTGTAATGAAACTGGCAAGCAAAGTATTCCCCAGTCAGCCTTATCTTTGTTCCATTTGTCCTTCAGATACAGCTTTTCTTGCCTTTTTCAATAAAATCCATCCAGCTTTTTTATTTTGCATCTCTCTGTAACTGAGCTGAGAAGACCAATGAGATTCAATGCTTTTCTAGTTGAGTTCTTAGCAGCTGCTTTTTAAAAGATCAAAACTTAGAATGCTGCTACATGGTATTAAGGCTTAGCTATTGATGTGTCCCTATAGGGGTTATGTATTTCTTGTGGGGGGGAAAGCAGAGAGGAAGGGTAAAGGGTGACCCTTTTGAGCATGCTCATAGACAATAAACACTACTTTCCTTGTTTCTTAGGATCCTCTTTGCAAGCTCGGTGCTTAACCTGACTGAACTTATTGCCCTTCGGCCTGACCTTGGCAAATTGAAAAAGGTCCTTTACTTCCATGAGAACCAGTTGGCATATCCTGTACAGAAATGCCAGGAAAGAGATTTCCAATATGGATACAACCAGATTCTTTCATGGTAGGTATTTCTCATACTACAGTGTGTGGGGATTTTTTTAATAGCATCTTTGAAGCATTTTTAAACCTGGGTCCTGCGCTACTTAAACAACAACAGTGTTACAAATATAAACACAGTCAGTCCCAAGGAGTTGTTAAGTAAAGTGCTTTGGCAGAAACAAGTAATGAAGTTCTTCATAGGTAGCCTTATCTCAAGCTATTCAAGTCTACCTGTGTGCTAAAGGACTACCATGCTACATCTGTAAATTGGGCTAATTTTCAATTCATACCCATTCATAGAAAACAAGATGTTATACATCAAGCATACTTATCAGAAAAGTAGTTAATCAGCTAGTGTTTCCTAAGTTACAGTTTTTATTGCATTCAACTGGATTAAAACAGAGGTTTACAGGGGAATAAACAAAAATTAAAACAAAAAGTAGAAGTTTTGTTTGTTAGTCTTTAAGGAGTAAGAGCAGTAAACATATCAGTTAAATCCATGCATTTCTTTCGTTTGGTATTCAGAAATTGTGAAGTGATAAAATATTCGGACATTTTAAAGATTGTAGTCCTTCGCTGCTATTTAAAATAAGGGCATTTCCTGAATTTGTTAATGAAAGAAGTTAACAGCACACTGAAAAGCTTTGTGATAGACACTGTACAAATCTAAGTGAATGTGCAAAGCTGAATTGGTTTGAATTGAAATAAATTCATTTGGCTGATCTATCTCACCTGTTTGTTATTAGGAGACCTATTGAATGGATTGAATATTATTAAATACATATAAAATATTTGCATCTCTGTAAAATGAGCCAGTTGATATTCAGATTTCCCAAATGATAATATTTATATATAGAAAGCATTTTCTAGATCTGTTTAGGTCATTGCATATGCAAGATGCTTTAGTTACTAAGTAGCTATGCTGTTAAAATGTAGTGAAATGGCTGTACTGTACTTGGAATGTATTTTGAAAACAGTAGCAACCATTTTGAATGGTTCATATCTAATGATATAAATATATGGTGCTGGATGGTGAAGCTAAGGAAGGAAATATCTATACAAATTTAGATTAAATACTGGTATTTTAAATGCTGCAATCTTACAATTTTTTATTATAGGGTCTTTCTCTTAATTAGGAAAAGACCTCTAAAATGAGTTCTTCTATGTTTTCTTTAGCTTAGAGTTGACTTCATACTTTAATGTGTACACACATAATATACATATTTTTAACTTTTTTGGCTCTGCAAATGGACATTTTTAATGGCAAAAGATAATAAGCTGTCTATATTTTAGCTGTATTGTTTCTGTCTATTGGCAGTCACCTGTAAAGGAAAAAAATGTTGGGTTTTGGGTTTTGTTTGTTTGTTTCTATATATTACTAGAGAAGGCTTGAAGCTTTTAATTTTTTGGTTTTTTTAAACCATAGAAATATCAGGAATGTTAAGTCTTGTCTTTTGTTTAAGTTTAAAGATTTCTTGGAGGACAAGATAACTGGTCTGGAGAGCTTTCTTAACTCTCTTTTGTGGTGTTAATTTTTACGAAAGAGAGCTTTTCTCTTTTCTCCAAACCGTTTGTCAGGAGTTTGTTAAATAGGTGGTGACAAAGTTCAAATAGTATGACTAATATTCCTTCCTTCTTAGTTGCTCAGGTTTCAATTGCTTGTGATGATAGGATCACTCCAGTTTGCCGGCCCCTTAAAATCTCTAGTACAAAATAGAGTAGATAAAACCTAGTATTTCTAATGTACGAAAAAAGCAGATACACAAGTTTTGCAGGCTTTCCTTTTTTGCTGGTTCACTAGTTGCTTTAACTTTAGGAGAACATGGTGAAAAGTCATAGGTGGAGAGGAATGGGAGATTTTAAGAAGTTCTACTTGAGTAGTCTAGTTGAAAAGGAATATTTTTCTCAGATATTTCCATGCTTTTCCTGC